ATTTGTAAATTGATTGTTTAAAACTTAAGTTCGGGCTGGGGCTTTAGCTCAGTGGTAGAGAGCTTGTTTAGCACATGTGAGGCAGTGGATTCAATCCTCAGCACCACATAAAAAATAAATAAATAAAATAGAGGCATTCTTGTCCATCTATAACTAAAAATAATATATATGTATATATATATATTGTGTGTATGTGTGTGTGTGTGTATATATATATATATATATAAAACAAAAGTTGAAATTCATTCTCCTAAAGTAACATTATAAAGAGTTTCTAAAGATAATACATAAATGTTTTATAAGTCATATTGTAATATATATCAATATATTAATATCTTTATCAATCTAATTTACAACATTTTTGAGATGCTGGATATCTTGAGGGGAGACAAAGGTGAATAATGATGGGCTCTGTCCTGAAACAGCTGGCAGTCTGGCAGGGTAGCTATGTAGGAAACAGTAAATACTGTTAGTTGTATTCTCATTCCATCCTCCTTGCTAAGAGAGATTACTGATTTTGTAGTGTGGGGAGGCTGTATCGCTCCCAGATGCTGCATTAGGACTGGCTAATTTAGACTCTGGGTAGCGGGTAAGGCCAGGCATTAAAGAATCCCAAATGTGCATCTAGAGTTTAGACTGACTCTGAGTCAGTCACTGCAACCCTGTGTCCCATGTTCTTAACTTGCTTTGCAGCTAGGAGTGGCCATGCTCCCCAGTCTGGCCACTGAAATGCAGGAGGAGAGTCTGCTGGGAGAAGTAAGATTTGGGGCAAGTTTTGATTTCTGAATAAAAGGGAAACATGTGCCTGACATTGTTCCCTTTCTCTCTTCTTCTCCCTGTGAACACGGATTTGATCTCTGGAGCAGTAGTAGCTTCCTTGAAGGAAACCTAGAGTAAGAAAAGAAGCATAGAGTAAAAAAGAAGCCTAGAGTAAGAAAAACCTCAATTTGTTTTACTATCAGTTGGGTTTTCTGGGACCTTCAGGTGCAAAGTTCCTAATTACTAAAGGAGAGGAAATGAGAATAACAGTTGTAAGCCATAACAGCACTGGGAGATAAGAAGGAAGACTTGGTGAAAGAGGTACAATTTGGAATTTGGGTCAGATTTTGAGGAATTGGTAGGATTTAGACTGGAGGATATAAAGGAGGAATTATAGACAGGAAGAATAGCATTAGGAAGGGCACAGGAGTGGCAAAGTTTGGGTCTATCTGGGGAATTTTGAAGAGCTGAGGTAATATATATATAATAGGTAGGGAGGGCAAATGGTAAGCAGTAAGTGCACAAAGGTTGGTCAATGTCATCTGCAGAATGTCCTTAAGGTCAAGGTGGAGTTTGGCCTTAGTGAGGTGAGGACCATTTGGGTGAGACATTGATATCATCAAGGTGCAGTTCAGATAGCATTTGTGACCACGTTTATGATAGATTGATAGGGAGGGAGATCAGACATTGAAAAATCACCAATGTAGGTTACTCCAACAGTCCCAAGTGAGAAAATACACACCTGAACTAGATGTGGTTTTGAAAAAGTGAAAGAACAGAGCAGAGACTTGAGACTTGTGGGAGAGGGCCTGAAGACACCTTTCTCCTGCCTTGTTAAGGGACTTTGCTGTCTTGGAATCTAGAGATGAGGTTTCTCCATGGCTCTCCCTCTGCCTGGAGCATATGTTTACCTTCATCCTGATTTACAATTACCATCTCTTTAGACCTGTCAAGGCCACGCTCAAATCCCCTCTTACAAGAATCCCTGTGTTCATCGAGAAGAGAATGGATAAACAAACTGGTGCATTCATTCAATGGAGCACCATATTAAAACTCAGTAAAATGGAGACCAAGTCTCTGAATTCCCTAAAGCATACAAAACCAGTTAAACCATGGAGACAACCTTGATTGCTTGATTTGCAAACATAAAGTAAACATAACTTGGGCTATTTATTATAAATGTCTCTATTTTTAATTTAAAAAGTGAAACTTAAGTTCAACCAATCAGAAGCTGCCAACTAAATTATTGTTCTATAAGCATGGATTTCCCAATGGGATAGACTAAATAAGGTGATGATATACTTGCAACCCAGCAATTATTTTCTTTGCCTTGCTTCTGAGTTCATCCTATAGAAAGCCTTGCATTTCCCTGGTGGCAGAGTCCTGAACCACTTTTGGTTTGGAGATGCCTGATTCATGAATTGCTGTTTGTTCAAACTCTATGATATTTAATATGCCTTAGTTTATCTTTTAATACTACTCAGTAATAAAAAGGAACTAACTACTGATACATACTACCTGGCTAAAACAAATAAATTATGGTGAGTGAAATGAGCTAGATCAAAAGAGTACATACTGTATGATTCTATTCATATGAAGTTCAGGAATACACAAAACTAATCTATAATGACACAAAAGCCAGAATAGTGATTGACTCTGGTGTCAGGGATGGCGATTGACTGAGAAAGGATATGAAGGAGTTTTTTGGAGTGACAGAGAGAAGTTTGGGTTACAGTGGTCAAATATAGAACGCACCAGGTGTGGCAGCACACACTTGTAATTCCAGCAGTTTGGGAAGCTGAGGCAGGAGGATCCCAGGTTCAAAGCCACTATCAGCAACAGTGAGGCACTAAGCAACTCAGTGAGAGCCTGTCTCAAAGTAAAATATAAAATAGGGTTGGGGATATGGCTCAGTGGTTGAGTGCCACTGAGTTCAATCCTCCCCTACCCACACACACACACAAAAAAAAAAAAAAACCCAAAAAACAAAAACACAAAAACCAAGTAGAATGCTACGCTTAAGATCTGTATTTCACTACACAAATTTTACCAAACAAATAAACAAATACTGAGGTGTAGTTAATGATGTGCAAACTGAAGAATGAAGCATGAAGTATTACTTTGAAATACAGCAAAATGCAAGATGGGCAGCTGGCTAAATATGTGGGAGCAGAGATAGCAAGTATTAAAAATAGAATATAGGTAGTGGATAGATGGGTGCTTACTGTACCATTCTTTCAACTTTTCTGTGTAATTAAAACAGTTCATAACAAAATGTTGGTGGAAAAATAGTATGTAGTTCAGGTTTTGCTAATTCACCTGTCAAGAGTAAAGACAGCTGGCAGCTTTGGGCAATGCTAGGCAGCTCTAAGCCTTTGTCTTGCCATGAAACCAAGTTTTCTTCCCTTAGAAGAGGACCATGACCAGTGGCTGAAAAGGGGTAGTTCCATTCAGAATCCCAATTTGGTTTTCCTCCAGTTTTTCCTGAGTTATAGCACTGTCAGGTCTAATAGACTAAATTCCATTCTGTTAGGGCTTGACCTGAGTGTGTGTCCTGTGACTCATGGGGCACAGAATTAGAAAGCACATCAAATTTACCTTCCAATAATTTAGTTTTTATGTACCTTGATTATTGACTATAAAATTATCCCAAGTATCACATACTGATGTGATTTTCTCTTTTTAGTTCCAGAAAGAACGTGGTTTAAGAGAAATGTCAATGTATTGTCTGAGAACATTTTGGTACACATGAGGTCTCCTGAGGGACAGAAAAGGCTGGGACATATCATTAAAAATGATCACTAATGTAATTTTCCTTTCCACATAAATAGCCCAACTTCATGTAGATTGGTTATAGCCTTTATCTCCTTTGTGAGTACTAATATGTTTTCACTAGAATTTCTACTTCTATTCCAGGTACTCATTTAATTATGCATTTCTTCTTCTCCACAGCCAGAACATCCTTAATCACAGGGTTCAATCTTTCAGAGGTAATTATTTTTCTAAATCCTTTCAGCAGTTGGCCAACATTTCCCTCACAAAGTCATCTTAGCTAATTAGGTCATGTGCTTTGCAATTTTTTGTTTATTAACTATTAACAAATACATTTTGTTGAGACATCTATCACTGAGGTTGCTTACTGTCTCTGACTTGCTGATACGAAATACTTCCATATGCATTTTTTTAACTATATATTTAAGAAGTCTTTAGTTTTTAATAGATCAGCAACATGTAAATCTAATCATTATTTTACTTTTATCTTCTCCCATCTCTACATGTTAACTTATTACACTTTGCATGTTTTCCTTCTCTTAGAACTAGGGATAGAAAACATCATTTTTTTTTTCTTCCCTTAGGCAGGGTGCAAAAGTTCTAAATCAGTGCTTCATAAATTTGAGCAGGATTCTGAATCAGGGGTACTTGTTTGAAAGGTAGATTTTGGGTCCTGTCCTTAATGCAGGTGATGTGGGGAAAATTTTGAGAAACAGTGCTTGTCAGAAGTGGGTGTTAACAACTACCAGTTCATAGAAACAAAACGTTCTAATCTGAATGTTAGAATATATGTCTTATTATTTACATTTTTGCCATATTTTTTTATATTTTAGTATAGTGCTACTCCATAAATCAACCAGGAAAAAGTGAGACTTGATTCTCTATGAAAGATGAACGAAGCAGGCACCATGCAGAAATCCTGACACCTGAAACTGTTCTCTGGGTTTCTGTGTGATCCACGGTTAATTCATTATGTTTTCCTTTCTACATTTTTAAGCTGACCATGGAGATATATGCAGTCAAAGTTTCCTTGAAATTTTAAGTGGGGTGTACAAGAAATAACAGAAGCCCAGCTTTCATGAATTAGTGCAATTTTATTAGGAAAAAATTGTTTTTACTAAAGAAATACATGAACATGGGTTAGTAAAATCAAAGGGTTCTAAAGTCTTAAAATGAAAACAGTCCCTTGTTTGTTTTTTTAAAAATATTTTTTAGTTGTAGATGGATACAGTCTTTATTTACTTATTTTTATGTGGTGCTGAGGATCAAATCATGTGTGAGGCAGGCGCTCTACCACTGAGCCACATTGCAGCCCGGTTCTGTCTTTTTTTACCCTTAGTTGCTCTATCCAGGGGTGCTCTTCATTCTCTTGGCTTTCTGTTAAGTACCTTCATGTTTTGTTTTTTTTTTTTCCAAATTAAAATTTCTCCCAGTTTTGAAGCAAATGCATGTATTCATACATGTTAAGTATTAAATCCTCTTGAAACTTATTAATGATTGCCTAATCACCTCCCCTCATCAACCTCATGTTTACATTTGCTTTATCTTCAATGAACTTACTTCTTTCCAAATGTCCCAGATTTGTCAATAAGCTATTATTTTTACTGTTTGTTTTCTAAGCAAGCTACACAGTTGTAAAATTGCCTGTGTTGGATTATATTTATTGCTAATAAATATTTATTATTTATTTGAAATTTATTTTATTGATGAACATAAAGGGCTCAATTTGTTATCTTAAATAAGTCTTCGTGAAAATATGCACAGTTGCCCACAATCCTAATCACAGTAGATGCACCTAAGCCAGAAAATAACACTTGTCAAACTCTCATTCTGTCAAGTGTTTGAAGCGTACTTTCTTCTTAGAAATATTAATATTAGAAAATCTGTTATTACACAAAATTATTTCATTCACTAAACAACCTCTGACATTATTCTGATAGTATCTTATTCTTTTTAACTGTTGCAGAATTAAAAATAAATAAAATTTATAGACACATTAGTTATTCATTTCTTTATTTATTGACGTTTGGGCTCTTTCCAAGTTTACAAGAGAATGCTACAACAAATATTCTGGAGTTCGTCTCTTTGCTCAGGATTGAGTTCCAGATGTGGAAGATCTGGGTCCAAATCCAGAATCTTCTGAATTTGAATTGATATTGCTAACTTGCACTTTAAATGGTGGTATAAGCTTACAAGGCAGAAAATGCCATTTCTTTTGCATACCTAGTTTTCTAAATCTTTGCTAACGTTATAGCTCAGACAGGTTTTACAGTGCATTTTGTAAGGTTTAGTTTCTAACTTACTGATTTTGGTATCTAGCAATATCCATTCTCAATTATCTCTTAGAATTTTTAATTGCTGCTATTATACTTGTTATTACATTTTCTTTTGCAAAGAGCAGCCCATCAATGTAGTATCTCCTGGAATCTTAATGAAGATCAAAACCAAATTTTAAAGGTCTCAGAGTTTTCCTTTTGGTAATCTCCTACTTGCTTCTTTATTGTCCATATTTGAGTTCTTAATTTACTCATTCTCTGAGTGAAAACAATGTTTATTTAGAAGTAGGATGTAAAAAAGAAAAAAAAAAGAAAATTCACAGTTTTTACCTTGATCTAATTTTCTTTAAAAAAAAAATGAGTTCTAGCACTTCTGTTTATAATCCATTTCTGCCCTTTGGACTAATCTATCTAGCTCCTATCTCTAAGGACCCTGGTGCCAACTCATGCTATAAGTTGACTGCAGCTGTCTTGCAGATAGGTAGACAGGTGTTAGGTACTCAGTCCAGACTTTGGGGGAGAGCCAATGAAGGAAACTTACAGCAAGAAAGAGCAAGAAATGCTTCCTAAATGGTATTTAATATGACCTAGTAAGACTGATGGAGAATAAAACATACTGCTTAGAAATCATTAACTGTAGATCTAAAGTCCACACAAGTCTTTTTATTCTAACGTAAAAATACAAAATTTTTTAGAGGGAGGGATAACATGAAATAGATCAGAAAACATCTTCACATTAATCAGTCTTTTCATATACTTCAAATTTGTACTTAATGCCTTTCTCCTCCTGGACCTCAGAAAGAACACCTGGGTATCTGTAAAAGAAAAAGATGTATAATTAATCCCTCAAAAACATAGCTTCCCTGAATCTCAACCAAAAGGCATCAACGGTGATAAAACAAGGTAAGATTTTTCTTCTTGTAGGTAAGCCACTGTTAAGGTAGACGAATATCAGGCAAATACAATACATATGCAAATAATAAGAAAAAACCCTACAAAACTATGTATATAAATTTAGAAAATGAAAGTTGTGACTTCTCCTTTTCTTCTGATTCCTAATTCTTTCCTTAAAAACTAACCACCATAGCAGTTCCCTAGTATATTTCTATTCTGTCATCAAGGGAATATGAAAATTCCTAAGAATTCTTTGTAAGTTTTATAGCTGATAAAAAATTTCTTATGTAAGCAAAAGAAAATGAAATATAATCTATAGTTGTTTAAAGCAAAAACCGAAGTCATGTGTCTGGCATGGTGACAGATTCTCAATTCCTGTTTACTCAAGAGACGTGCATCATAAGGCTCTAATTCTGCAATGTATGGCACACTGCAATTTCTTGGCTAGAATCAGGATGAATTCAATCTTTCCTCTTCCCTCTCACTTGACTCTTTACTCCCTTTAGTTTCCCATTCAAAACCCAGGTTGTAACCCAATCAATAAATGGGCTAAGGAACTGAAGAGATACTTCACAGAAGAAGAACTACAACTGATCAAACATGAAAAGATGTTCAACATCTCTAGTGATTACAGAAATGCAAATCAAAATTACTCTAAGATTCCTTCTCACTCCAGTCAGAATGGCAATCATCAAGAATACAAGCAACAGTAAGTGTTGGTGACGATGTGGGAAAAAGGCACACATACATTGCCGGTGGGACTGCAAATTGGTGCAACCACTATGGAAAGCAGTCTGAAGATTCCTCAGAAAACTTAGAATGGAACCACTATCTGACCCAGCTATCCCACTCCTTGGTTTATACCCAAAGGACTTAAAAACAGCTTATACTACTGTTGAGAGCCACAGCCAAAAGGGCCCATAACCCAGAGGTCGATGGATCGAAACCATCCTTTGCTACCAGATGCCGCAGTCTGGCTGGGCACAATTCAGGAGCCACTTGTCAAAAGAAACTAACTTTATTTTTAGAACTACAAATGCCAAACAAAACATACTACAGTGACATAACCACATCAATGTTTACAGCAGCTCAACTCACAATAGCTAAACTATGGAACCAACCTAAATACCCTTCAACAGATGAATGGATAAAGAAAATGTGGTACATACACATAACAGACTATTACTCAGCTTTAAAGAAGAATGCAGTTATGGCATTTGCAGGTAAATGGATGGAGCTAGATGATATCATGCTAAGTGAAATAAACCAAAACCC